CAACCTTACAGTTTCTTGTTTAATTGCTTCTGTTTCACGGTCTTGTTGGAGAACTCTTGCTCTTTGTTACTTAGAGCCTTCCTTTTTTTCCCAAATAAACACTTGTTTTTGTTCAGACAGATGCAAGCGTTCGTTTGTCAGCAGCTTGTAACTAATCTCTCATTTATAATCGTCCGTTTTCATTGCTAAGACAGAGGACCTGGGGCCATCTAAGTTCAAATGACGGTCCCTGTGCCTACAGATTGTGATGGGACGGAGTATGAGGCCCATCCGTGAGAGGGTCTTCATCTCTCTACAAAACCGCTGGGATTTGATCCTGGGGTCTCAATCTATTGATCTAATCTAATTGTGCCCTTCAAATCGCACCCCTAAATACAGTACCCTGTTAAGTTCCCAGTTGCTCACACCATTCAGTGTAAGATTTTGAACAGTCAAGTCCCTCATGGGCTCCCAGAGAAAAGGCACATTGATGACCACCTTTAGGTCATTTTAATTTTGGTGTGTTTTTAAGACGTTTCTGTTTGTGTGCATGTCTGTGTATATGTCACACGTGTGCAATACCAGCAGAGGCCAGAAAAGGGTAATGGGTCCCCCTGGAGCTGGCGCTTCAGTTGGTTGTGACCCACTGGACATGGGTACTGGGATTCTAACCCGAGCAGCCAACACTCTTAGCTGCTGAGCCATCTCTCCCATCCTCGACATACTTTCTACCTAGAGTTGTTTAGTTTGCTCAAACTTAGAGTTGTATAAATTTGAGACTGGGGTAGACTGAAAGCACCCCCTCGTGAGGCCTCGTTTGCTAAGGAAGAGGGGGTGCTTTCAAAGATATTTAAAAAGAAAGGAACTGGTGCTATTTCACATTAAGCATTTTCTAAAAGCTTAAATAAATTTTTAATAAATTACAGCCGCAGTAAAATCAAAAGATTATCAGGTTGGAATAAAAGAGCATTAACAAAGGACTGAAAGAACAGTCCATGATTGTAACTCTATCCACTATGTTAACAGGCTAAGAAGAAAACTCACATGATCGTTTACATGGATACTCCCAAAGAGGTGGTTGATAAAATTTGACATTCATTTATGACTTGTAAATCTATTCTAGGTTCAGAAGGGGGATTTCTTAATTCAATAGATTTGCCTGTAGCAAACCCAACAGTGAAACTTGAGCTGTGTCCCCAAGATTGTCATGAAGAAAGCAAGCAAGAGGTCACCTTCTCCTACAGCTCAGCCTAGAAGATGCCAGGAAAAGCCAGCAGGAATCCCTTACCCACCAATCAATCTGTGGTTTCAGGATTTCTTGCTTTCAACTGCGGCCTGAAATCATCCATCAAAATTATCCATAAATAAACAATTTATCAGTTTTATATTGACACCATCCTATGAAGCAGGATGAAATGTCTCACTGCCTGAACACGAATCACCCCTCTAAGTCCTTGCTGTATACACTGCCCTCCCGTTAGCTATCTCTGGGTCCAGGTAGAGTGTTGGTATTCAAGTAGCCATTATTTTACTTTAATAATGACACCTGAACTTAAAAGTCATGATTCTGGCAATTTTTTAAACAGAATGTTAACGATATGATTATCAAAGTTCTCCAAAGGCTGTGTTCCCCCAGCCTCTGGCAATGCTGGAGCCCAGTGGAAGGAAGAAAGGTAGATTAGGGCTGACCTTTTAGGGGATATTGGGGCTCAGCCCCTCCTTTCTTTTGTTATTTCCTGGATCCCATGAGTGAACAGCATTCTCTGCCTCAGGCTCCTTCCACAATCAATGTACACCCAATTGAATTACAGGCAGAGCCATGGACAGAGATGGGGTACCGAGTAAAACCTGTGAGCCAAACCTAAGGTCTCCTCCTTTTTATTGTTTGCTTCAGGTATGTTGTGCCAGCATGGAGTGAAGCTCACACTCGTGTGTGGCTGTAACTGTCCTTTTTCTGAGAAACCTCTGTTCACCTTCTCCTGCCTGATTTGTCAACCACAATGTCACACTTTTGCACATAGAGAACAGAACTGTGCTCAGTGTTAGGCATCAGCCCAGAACTTAGAATGCAGTCCCCATGGCCTAGGGTGTAGCTACAAAGAGGACCCTCATCCCTCCAAATGGAGACAGCCTGGTGACCTGACATCATACCCTGAACATCATACCCTGTCTTCAGACTGCTAGAAGACTCTTCAGAAAGAGGAAATGGTAACAAACTGTCAGTGTTTGATACAAAGTCTAGCACAAGTCAGGATGCAGCCCCAGAGCAAACACAAGTACTGCAGTAAGAGATCTATCCCTAACAAAGGTCCAACCCAACACAGACAAAAACAAATAGAGAAACATAGAGGACTCTTGGACCAAGGATTAGTTCTCCCTCTGAGGAGTCTGTAATTCACTGCAAACAAGATGTGATACCGTCTGCTGGCCCAATGCCCAAAACCCTGCTCTAGGTTCCACAGCACAGAAGGGGAGGTTGATAGATCTGAGGAGCAGCTGGAAGCTGTGAGTCAGAAGGTGATCTCATGGGGCTAGAGCAATGGATCAGCAGTTAGGAGCACTGGCTGTTCTTCTAGAGGACAAGGTTTCAATTCCCAGAACCCTCACAGCAGCTCAACTGTCAACTCCAAGATCTGACACCCTCCCACAGACATACATGCGGGTAAAACACCAATGCATATAAAATATAAATTATTTAATCAATCGATAAATAAAAAGGTGGTCTCATTCTGATATGGGTGTGAGTGTCTGTAGTGCACAGGTATGCATGCATTGTGTTCATACATGTGTCACTACATGTGTGTGCATACATGTGTATGTGCACATGTCTAAGTATTTATATCTATATATTAGATGTGTATGCATGTATGTGCATGCATATGTGAGGCATGTGTATATATGCCTTACATGTGTGTGCATACATGTTCCCATGTGCCCATATATTTTATATGCATGAGTGTTTGTGTGTGTGCATGTACATGTGTGATGCATGTGTCTGTATGTTGTGTATGTTTGTGCATGTGTGGTGCATCTGTCTGTACATGTAAGTAAACATGTATGTGAATATATCCATACATTGTGTCTATGCATATGTTCACCTATGTACGCAGTTTATACAATGTTATGTGTGTTTATATATGTGTGTGTACATGTATATGTGTTATGTGTATGTGCATAGGGGAAGAAGAAGAGGGCCATTTGAAGAGAGGAGCAGTCAGCCTGTGAGTATTTGGGAGAATGCTGTTTAGCGAGCTCCTTTCTCTTGGGGTTGCTGTCAATCAGTCACCTCTAAGAGGTAGGAATGAAGCCACTGAGCCAGTCTAGGCAGAACAAGACTCTTGACCAAGCAGGTCGCTAGAGGACAGGCTGGTCCCAACATTCTTGTGTCTCTTGCAGTCACAGCTGAGGGAACAGAGACTATAGTAGAAGATGACGGTTGGGTGTAAACCTCGGCTTTTCAGAGGCTCGGGTCACCAGATGCTCTGTAACGTATCACCCAAGACCCGGAGCCTTAAATGAGCAGTTTTCTAAATATGTAGTTGCAGCTCAGAGCCCAGGCATGCATCTGGCATCTTCAAAGCCTGGGTCCCATCCTCAGCACACAGGCCCGTCGACCCATCAGTAAATACTAACAATTACCCTAGCCCCTGTGGTTGTGTGGGGCCGGGCTTGAAGGGGCTTTCACCAGAGCCCCTCATACAAACACATTTGGAAGATGGTGGGAGTCACAAGTGGCATCTATAGCTGCAGCTTTGCTCTCGATAGCACCTACACATGGTCTCCCTGGGAGGACCATTTTCCCCATCAGAGAGGCTCTGATTGAGGCCAGCATGGAGCCCCAGAACACAGAAAACACTAAGTTCCCTGTGTCCTAGCAGAAGTGTTACCCTGTAAGTCATGTAAACCAAAAGGGGGGGGCAAGTGAGATTGGCCCAGCATCAGCTGCCCAGCTCAGCCTCTCTCTGGGTGCGAACCAGCAGGAACAAGGCCTTCTCAGCTCCTCTGCCTTCTGCAGCTCCAGGCTCCTCAGCACTGCCTTTTCCCCTACTGAGCGCATGTTTCTGTGGAAGTACAAGCAATCTTGAGCGACACTCCCTGAACAGCCATGTGCATTGGCAAGCATGTAACCATGGCAGGTGTCCCAGCTCTGGACTGGCATCCTATTCCTCAACACTGGGCCCAGGTAGACCCCAGCCTCTCTGGTTTCACATTCAGTAAGGTGATCCAGTTTCCACACATGTCATGCCGTGATGACATCAGTGGTCTCCAGAGTCCAAGTCAAGGGGTCCGATCTTGAGATTTTCCAAAAACTACGAGAAGACTCAAGCTTTTTCCTTCATAAAGTTTAGCCTGAATCTGGTATCTTGTTATAGTGATGAAAAATGGGCTAATGAGTGTCAAAAACATAGTAAAAACTATTTTTCTTTCTTTCTTTTTCCAGGTTCTCTCTATGTAGTCCTTTCTAACCTGGAATTCCACTATGTAGACCAGGCTTGCCTGGAACTTACAGCGATCCACCAGCCTCAGCCTCCTGAGTGCTAGGATCAAATGTGTGTGCCACCATACCTGGTGTGGTGGTTTGAAAGAAAATGACCCTCCAAAGGGAGGTGTGGCCTTGTGGAGTAGGTTTGATCTTCTTGGAGGAAGCATGTCACTGTGGAGGCAGGCTTTGAGGTCTCGTATATGCTCAAGGAACCATACGCATGTCTCAGACCACTTCCTGTTTTCTGTAGGAGTCTCATCTACTTCCCTGGTACCACGCCTGCCCGCACACTGCCATGTGCCACCAGCATGATAACAAACTGAACCTCTGAACTGTAAGCTGCCAGCTCAGTTAAAGCCAGGTAAGAAGGAAGAGAAGACCTGACTCCACTGAGAGGTCCTCTGACCCCCACATATGCATTGTGTCACCAGCACCCACACCCCCACAAATGGCATGCATATGCACAACAACAAATAAATTTATTAAAAAGAAATAGACCCTAATATAACACAGATTAAGTATAAATGAGACAGTTTAAACAAAAGACAAACCATCTTCAAAAGGTTCAAAACAGAAAGGAATCTAGCAGTCCGGATTCCAGAGACATGAAAACAAAATAAACGGGGGGAGGGCGGGGTGTTTGCAAATCAGGAACAAAAGTAAAACCCAACAACTTCAATATCAGAAGGGAAAAGATGAGATTCAAAGCGAATCTGTTGTAAGGGACAAAAGTGAGTCATTTTAGTTGCAAAAAAAGAACAATGGATGGAGCATATCCGTCTTGTTAATAGGGAGCCTAAGTTCCCAAGCAGAGCTGTGGGATGCCAGCAGCTGAGGAAGCGGGGAGGAAAATGGGGAACTCAGAGGGCGTGCTGAAGATTGTAGTAGCGGCAGCAAGAGCTGAAGCTCCCACCGCAAGCGGAAGCACCCTCTGCGGTATTCATATTCATGAAAATGTCCATCCGACAGGCTCGGGAATGTCTTCCCTGAGCTCACATGAGACTTTCACCAGACCAGCCATGTGTGAAAGAGCAGGGGGAGTCTGCCCAAATCAAACACAGAGTCGGCAGGGCAGAGTCAGGTCCAGGAGCACAGAGCTCTTCAAGCATCCTCCGAGGTCTGGAAGAGATGGAAAGTCACATCAGTAAAGACAGAGCGTAAAGAGGAAAATAAGCACATGTGGAAATGTACGAACGGACTCAAACTAAACTGCTATTGCCATCGCCAGGAAAGTCGGGTGAACAGATGCACTCCGAGCAAAAAGTAAAACTGCAGCAATATAAATCAGGAACCTGAATATTATCAGTAACCATTAAAAGAAGTTTAGAGAATGGCCAAAGGCTTGTTTTCCAGATACTTTATGTGTGAGTTCAACCAAATTCTCAGGAAAAGGTCTAGATAACAGGTTACATTGCTCCAGAAACCAAGAGATGAAGCCACTGAGGGCGGGTGTGTGTATGAAGCTAGAATAATGTTAAAAAGGTCCCTGTGTCTCACTGCTTGTGAATAAAGAGGCAGGGAAGAATGCTTGGGGGCTGACAAAGGAAGTCCCCATTTTCCACAGGACTGGAATCTGAGGTGCCTAGGAGACAGATGGCTAGGTGCGTGTATGGGGACACATCCAGAGGGGATTAAAAGGTCCACCTGATGAAGAGCAACAGCATCCAATAGGCTGGCGTCTCGGAGTGAATAAAAAGGAAAAATGGAGGAAGTCAGCTGAACGGCAGCATTTGTGTCTTCCTGCTCCCTGGCTGCAGCTGCAATGTGGCCAGCTGACTCGTGCTCCCACTGCCATGGTTTCCTTTCCACCATGGCCCATACGGCTAAACAATGAGCCAAAGAAACCCTCTCTTGCTTAAGTTGCTTTTGTCAGGTATTTTTAATTTTTTCTTACTTTTATGTGTGTGGGTGTTTGTATGTGTGTCTATACAGCATGGGTAAGCTTAGAATTACAGAGATAATGAGCCTCCATGTGGGCGTTAAGAATCAAACTCAGGTGCTACCGATGCTCTTAACGTTTGAGCCATCTCGCCATCTCTTTCTGTTATACTTATTTAATTGTGTGCACGTGTTTGTGCATGTGCCATGGAGGTCAGGGGACAGCGGAAAGGAATGGGTTCTCTCCCTCTACCGTATGGGTTCTAGGGACTGAACTAATATCTCCAGACTTTGTGACGTGCCTTTACCCACTGAGCATCTCACCAGCTAATTGTCAAGTTTCTTGTCACAACCAAGAGAAAACTAGTCAAATAGGAATCACCTCCACAGTGTGGCGAAACCTCACATCTCACGATTCGATTATGTGAAAGTTACAGCAGACTGATGTGTGGTGGATGGAACCAGCGGGGAAAGTCACCTTCTGAGGGAGCTAAAGGGCTGGAGGTTGCAGGGCCTGGATGCCTCCTACAGGGCATGCGTCTGTCTCATCCCAAATCTCCTGTACACAAGTAACACACCTCTTTTGGTTTTGGTTTTGGTTTTTCGAGACAGGGTTTCTTTGTAGCTTTTGGAGCCTGTCCTGGAACTAGCTCTTGTAGACCAGGTTGGCCTCGAACTCAGAGATCCACCTGCCTCTGCCTCCCGAGTGCTGGGATTAAAGGCGTGCGCCACCACCACCCAGGGAGTTAAGTAACACACCTCTTAACTCCCTGTACAGTTGATGAGAAATAAAAAGAAATGAAAGAGTTAATAAGAAACTTACCCCCCAAATATCTACCAACGAGAAGAATCCCGGGTATGCCATTTACTAACATTCAACACGGTAGAAGAGACTGTCTTCACTGTGTCCAAACCTCAGTCCTTTCCCTCCTCTGTCAGACACACGGTGTGCATCAGCGAGGAATGCTTGTCCATGCGCATCTGCTCAACACAAGCCCAGAGACAGGATGGGGAAACAGGGTCAGAGTTGGGCTGGGAATTCATGTTAGGATGCTTGCCCAGCGCCCAGCCCTGGGTTCCATCACCAGCACAGGAAAATATAGGTATATAGTTTTAGGTATAATAGGGCAAAGGAAACAGGCTTATTACATGGAGCAAAATAAAGCTAAGCCCTTACCTTTGGCCTGGCACCGAGGGGAACTTCATGCCTGAGTACATGACCATTTCCTGAGGTGACCAAGCCCATGAAAGATCAAGGGGCCAGTGAGATACTTCAGTGAGTTTACTAGTCAGGGTTTCCTAAAAGAATAAAGCAGCAGGATGAATATATATATGGAAAGGGGATTATTAGATCGCCTTACATCTTAATGTCAGAGTGGCCTGACAATGGCTGTCTCATACTGAAGAGACCAAGAACCCAGTAGGTGCTCAGTCTGTGAAGCACCTTGGCAGTCTCTATCTGGTGCCAAAGGCCTGGAGGGCTCCTGGGGTGGGGGGTACTGGGTTTTGATCTATGTGCTGTTCAGTTTGGTTTTTTTTTTTTTATCTATTTGACACAAGGTAAGGGTCATCTGGGAAAAGTAAGTCTCAATAGTCTCAATTGAGGAAATGCCTCCATCAGACTGACCTGTAGGCAAATGTGTTCAGCATTTTCTTGATTAGTGACTGATGCGGGAGGGCCCATAGGCTGGAGGTGGTACCACCCCTGGGCAGATGGTCCCAAATGGTAAAAGAAAACAGACTGAACATGGCATGGTGGCACACGCCTTTAATCCCAGCACTCGGGAGGCAGAGGCAGGCAGATTTCTGTGAGTCTGAGGCCAGCCTGGTCAACATAGTGAGTTCCAGGACAGCCAGAGCTATACGATGAGACCTTGTCTCAAAGAAAAAAGAAAGTTAACTGAGTAAGCCATGAGGAGCAAGCCAGTAGCAGCACCCCTCCATGGCCGGTGCCTCAGTGCCTGCCTCCAGGTTCTCTCCTTACTTGATTTTCTGCTCTGACTTCCCTTTATGACAGGCTATGAGCTGTAAGATGAAATAACCCTTTTCTTCGTGTTTGATTATGGTGTTTTGTTACTCTCTCAGCAACAGAGAGAGACTAAGCTAAGACAATCTACATTGGAAGCCTGAAGATGCCAATTTTAATCTCAGCAGAGGAATCAGCTGTGGCAGCAACAGTACAAATGAACGAGAGAGAGAGAGAGAGAGAGAGAGAGAGAGAGAGAGAGAGAGAGAGAGAGAGAAAGTCAAGCCAGGGGAAAAGTAGACAGATTTCCTTCTTCCATATCTTTAAAAATTTTTTAAATTAATGCATTTATTTTGTGTGTATTTGTGTGTGTGTATGTGTGTGTGTGTGTGTGTGTGTGTGTGTACCACAGGCTTGCAGTGCCCTAGGAGACCAGAAGAGGGTATCAGACCCCTAGAACTGTAGTTACAGATGGTTGTGAGCCACCATGTGGATGCTGGAAACCAAACCCAGGTCCTCTGCAGAACAACCAGAGCTCTTAACCTCTGAGCCATCTTTCCAGCCTCTTCCACATCATTTGATTTGGATCCAGACCATACGGCTCCACCCACATTCCAGTTGGGTCTTCCTACATCAGCAAAGGCAATCAAGACAATCAATCCCCCTGGCCCATAGATCAAGCTGGTCTAGATGACTCCTCACTGGGGCTCTCTTCTCAGAGCGTGTCAAGTTGGCAATCAAAGCTGACCATCACAGCAAGTAAATGTGTTTGTCACCCAGTCTAAAGACCTGAGTTTGATCTCGGACCCACATGGTGGTAAGGGGAGAACTGACTCCCACAAACTGTCCTCTGACCTTCACACATGTGCTATCACACATACACATGTAAATAAATGTGTTTTCTTTTAAAGGGAAAGATCAAATCAGCCATGAAGGATGTTTATTTTTGACCTCAGGGTAGGGGTCTTCACAACACAGAAAGGCAGGAAGTGTTGAATGGGAAGTAGATGGATCAGACATCTCAAAATGAAGATCTGTCTCATAAATGGTGGCCTGTGCTCCTGGTCCTAGCCACTCAGCCACTGAGGGGGGACAGTGGGAGGATCTCTTGATCGCAGGGGAGTCCAACCTGGTTAACAACGTGAAACCCTATTTCAAAAAAAAAAAGTTAGCCTGGCAGTGGTGACGCATGCCTTTAATCCCAGCCCTCGGGAGGCAGAGGCAGGCGGATCTCTGTGGGTTTGAGGCCAGCCCCAGGACAGGAACCAAAAAAGCTACAGAGAAACCCTGTCTCGAAAATCAAAAAAAAAAAAAAAAAGTTTTCTTAGTAACTAAAAACCATGCTTAGCCAAGCAGCACAGGCCAGATGGCCAGACGGGAGGAGCTAACTTCAGCAAACTGACCCCAAAGCAATCTCTTGAGAAGAGAAGGGGTGGAGTGAGGTCACCATGACAAAGCAAAGCCTGGAGAGTACTTGAGAGACAGTAGCTGTCAGGAAACCATGTGTAAATGCCCACCACAGCAATGATAGATAGATGATAGATAGATAGATAGATAGATAGATAGATAGATAGATAGATAGATAGATAGATAGATAGATAGATGACAGACAAACAGACAGGCAGAGATAAAGGGGCTGAAGCCCTTGTCTTCAGTGGGACTGACAACTGGTGCTGTGTTTCCCGGTCCACAAGCTGAAACCCACAGGAAGGAAAGAGAAACTCGCACAAAACATCTTCCATCTGAAGACTGAAGCAGGGCGACTCTGAAGCTGCTTGGAGCCACGTGGCTGACTGTGAACTGCCATCTGAACCAACCTTAAAACACTGGATGACTGAGATGAACTCTATTGCACTTGACGCAAAACCAGACTGAATATCTTATAAAGATAAACAGCTACCCAAAGACCCTTATCGGGACAATGAGCACGTGCCCAGACCGTAGGCATGAGGAGGGAGAAAATAAATATAAAAAAAAGAAAATGCCTAGTAAGAATTATAACTGCCACGATGTGGAGAGAGATCATAAGCTCGACACTCGCCTCTGGGGCCCTGTAAATAAATAATTAACTCGGTGTGAGTCCCTGGTGTCCAATAAGTAGACAGCATCATTAATGAGTTAATTCAGTGTAAGAGCAATCCGCCTCCGGGGACCTCACTGAAGACCTGCACACACGGGCCCTTCCACTTATGTGGGGTACAAAATAACCCGCATTTAGAGCGATGGTAAGAACGACAGCAAACAGCCCCGAAAACATACAGTTTGGGGGACTCACAGGAGCCTTGAACATGTGCACACTGGCCGTCAGCTTTACAGGGTGCACAGCAGTGAACTCTGCTAACCAGCTCAGAGGGAGAGAACTGGCCTGGCACACATGAGACCCTAGGCTCCATCCCCAGAAACGTCAACCAACTAACCAGTCAACCAACTAACCAGTCAACCAGTATAGTAAAGTTGGCACAAACTGAGAAAATCCAGAGCAGGAAAGGCCCCCTTCCCTTTTTGGTGACAAAAAATGAAAATTTCAAAGTCAGGCCAACGTTGTGGTGCTGACAAGTAACTTCAGCACTTGGCAGGCGGAGGTGAGAGAAGCGCAAGGCCAGCCTGGACTACATGAGACCATAACTGAATAATGATGGCGATGATCTTTAAAATTAATCTAAAAGAAAAAGAAGGAAAATTCTGCATAGGAAAATATGCCATCAGCAACTTTCTGGCACAAATGGCAGATAGCGAAGAAATATGCAGAACATCTACTGCAGGATTGACACAGCGCGGAAGGACTAGAGCAGCAGTAAGAAAAGACAAAAAGCCTGATGCCAGGCAGCAGGTGGAGGTGGCGCACGCCTTTAATCCCAGCACTTGGGAGACAGAGGCAGGTGGATCTCTGGGAGTCCGAGGTCAGCCTGGTCTACAGAGTGAGTTCCAGGACAGCCAGAGCTACACACAGAAACCCTGTCTCAAAGAAAGAAAGAAAAGGAGGGAGAGAGGGAGGGAGGGAGGGAGGGAGGGAGGGAGGGAGGGA